ATTAGTTTAATAGTCATGGTTATCCAATCAAAATAAAATGAGATACTATGACAGAAATCAGTAATATGACAACTTAAAGTAAAGAGCCGGGTTCCTCTTTACAAAAAAAACAGTCTTTCAGCAAATAAAAATCACTTGATGAACTATTTATCTGTTCTATAAATCTTATCAAACTGTAAAATTGCCCATTTCTGTGAAAATCAGTTATTCATCAGTCTTAAATCATAATCCACTCGTTCATAACTATTCAATATCTTGTTTTGAAAGACCCGTAAACCGCAACATCCAGAGGTTGGAGTCTATGACTACAATGGAAATATTAGCAGAAGTAACTTGTCCAATTTGTTTTGACCCTTTTTCAGCGATGATTTTAGGAGGAGCTGAAACAGTGCTGCATCCTGGAGCCGGCTCTTTGAAAGCCTCCACAAGTAGCTCTTTCAAAACATTTTGTCATTCAAGTTAACCTCAAAATACAGCTATTTCGCGTTAACATTATGACATCAATATTATCGTAAAATAATGCTAAATATATGCCTAACAATACATCATATCAATTTTATCATCTCATGCACTTTTCTTTGTAAAACAAAATAAGTGAACGCAAAAAAAATAATTTTAGGTCCTGAAATTTTTTATGTGGTCTACCGTCGCCATTCGTTTTCGCAGAACTGTTAAATGTTTGTGGATGACAGATTTTGGTAAGTGGCAGAAAATCACATCGGCTCTTTCAAAGCCTGGCTCTTCCATACACACTCTTCATTTGTCAATTTTCAGGTTATGAATCCTATTATTTCTCAAAATACGGCTATCAGATGGTTACTGCGCTGTACCCTGTATAATAGAAGGGCAGTCTTTGCTGACCAGTTAGGATACAAGTGTTTTTCTTAGAATAATGAAATATTACAGGAATTCTTCAGAACTTCAAATCAAATATAGATTTAATATAGGTCTATCCGCATTCGATCATTCTTGTGATATTTCAGATAAAAAAGAACAACAATGCGTTATTGATGACAATAATGGAATGTTAATGACCGAGTTACAGATAAATTATAAAAGCACAATATATGCATTTATCGACAATAACATTTACAAGCTCGGAGTTGTGCTAATATTTCGGGAAATATTTTCTTATTTGTTGAGATGAGGATGAATATAAAAATTTAACTTGTCGCCAGATTGTACGAAAACAATAATAAGGAGGTGTAATAACAAATTTTTATCTTTCCGTATAAGACAAATGAATCCATGCATCGAAATCATTGTGTATGAATAGTGTTTATGTGCATACTCGAAAAGTTATTGTACCAGTTCCAACAAAGAGAGGTCATGAAGAAGTAAGTCACACTTTCTTTTGTCAGGCTTTTGAAGTTTTTTTATGTGTACAACTTGTTGGGTTTTTATCTGATTCTGGTATAAAGAGTTAAAAAATGCGAAGTAGACATCTACCTACCTACGAAAATGCGGCCTCAACCTTCGGAGCGATTCTCTATGTAGATACAACAAAGTTAACGCAATTGCAAATTTTCTCCATCACGCGCGCGCGCGTGTGTGTGTGTGTGTGTGTGTGTGTGTGTGGTAGCTTGAATTTAAAATAACCAATATATTTATTTGATAGGATTAACCCTTCAACGCCCAATGTGACCGTACAGTCACAACTAAATTTACAAGTTTATCCTACCTCTCACCTATCATGACCTTCGAATTTGCATTCAAAATAAAGTGTGTTGATTTCAGTGAGATTCGACAGTGGTGTGAGCACGATCGTGGGCGTAACGTGTTTCAGTTAAAAAAATTGTTTCTTGAGACATCTCGGTGGATTTTGAGAAATATGAACTCTCGACTAGAGTAAGTGGTTTTTTTTAATTAAAAAATCTATAATGATAACTGATTTTTTGAAAATTCGCCTCAAAAATATGTTATTTTATGTGTTTGGACTATGTGTAATGTAAAATTTTATTATGTGCGTTAGATAGATATTTCGTGCCATATACTGGCGCGTCACCATATTGGACGCTTTGAATGTATAATGCTTACGAGAGACTGGATAAAAGCAACATTGTCCACTCTTATTACAGACGAATTTTACATTACAAAAAGCTCTGAATATCGCTTATGACCAGTCGAAAAATGGGACACCTGTTGATGGTATTTCAATAGCTCCGCCAAATCCTTGTGTTTTGACTGACGAGGATTTTGCGTATGAAGAAGATGGAGGTGTAATAGAATTTATCCCGTCTACAGTCGCCCTCTCAATCGAAAATCAACATCAACAGATTTTTTTCAAGGACAAATCACAAACACTACAAGAAAATCCTTAAGGAGCTCTAAGAGCGGTGCCTGTGCGAAAGCAGCAATTCACATTGGATTTAAATCGCTGAAGATCAAATCCATTTGGAAAAACATTCTCAGGAAGTTTTTTCCACATAAACGCAGTTCTCCAAATGAAAAAGTTCTTAAACAGAGAAGTTCCAGGTGTACTGAGTTGCACCTCAAAACGATGAGCAGCTACAATCCGTCGCGTATTTCTGATATGTACCGACCGCTCTTGGTGGAATCAAATGTGCCAAGTCACTTGAACACTTCCCGTGAAAGTATCCATAGAAGAGAGGCAAATCTCCAATATTTCTTCGATGTTCCTGTCTATTCGGTCGGTAGCCAAGCGGTTCGGCGTGGGTGATTTGTTCACTCACTCGAATTGACTGCCGTGTTGGTCGGTGGTTCAAGACCTAGTCTGAACGATCGATCTTCACTAGCTATTGTCTAACCCGTGTTAGGAATCACACGTTAAATTGTAAGACCTCGTTAATCCTTAGCTCGCACAAGTTTCGACTTCTGATGGTTGTCGTTCGTAGGGGTGCGACAGCTGGTTAACGGAAAAATAGATTTCAAACAGATTAAGGTTGCAAGTGATGTCCGCGTTTCCAATCAGGTGGATGGCTCTTTTCTGTTTGGAATCCAGCAGCTTCAGGATATACTTAAGGACGGAGCTCAATAAATGTGAACAATACTCCAAAGAAGGTACGATCTGAGCTTTAAGAGGCATCAAAAGTTACTGAAGTGTGTACAGTTTTCTGGTTCGGAACAGTGTCCCAGACTTTTGAGAAACGGCCTTTGCAATTCCAGCGACATGATTGTGCCAAGACATTTTGGTGTACATTTCAACCCCCAACAAACTTATCGAAGATGAAAGTGTAATTGTCTGACCTGACATTATATCCGGTTTGGAAAAAACCGATGCCTGACTTTTTGTGGCATTGAATTGAACCTGGTAAGTTTCACCCCAATTCGAAAATACTTCTAGATCCTCTTTAAGATATGCAACCTCCTGCTGCCGGTGAAGATGTGCATCCGCAGCAGATATTCTGGAATCCAAATGGAATGACGAGACAAGAAATATTAGATGTTGAAAAACAAATGTCGATAAACAAAAAAAGGACCTGAAATTGTTGAAAAAAATTGTGTTTCAGGAGATATACAGTATACTGAGAAAGACTCTCATAGGCCAAAGTACGAAAAATATTCACCAACTGAAATGTTTCAACTTTTTATTGATAATGATGTAATGTCGTTATTTTTGAAGAGTCAAATATGCCAAATTCCTCAATGGTACCAATCCAAACATAAGCAGTGATGAAACATAGTGCGCTTTGGGTATCCTCCTTCTCCCTGACTATATGAATTAACCGGTAAAACGATATTTTTGGGATTCTGGTACACCCAAAATAGTTTCTATTTGTTAACACATATGAACATTTTGGGATATGGAGTATCTGGTACTACCTTAGAGACTGCCCTTCACCTAAAAAAAGAACAATGAATTAGGTACAGCGGAAAAGTTTTGAAAACCAACTGAATTAAGATGATGGAATAATATTTATCCTTTGGGTTGAAAGTTTCATAGTGACAATGATGTCAACATCTTACGGTGTTCAAGCTGCTTCGACTTTATAACGATATTCTCAGACTGAGAAGTATCAGCAGTCTTTATGCTATTCGTCAGTAAAATGAGTTCATGAGCGAAATTGATCATATGGATGAAGATTTTGCAAGAAGAAGGTCCAAAAAACGGCACTGGCTTCTTCTTACCTGTATGATTGATTCAGCTTGTCACAATGCTTGGATATTATACAAAAGTAGTGGTAGACCTACCACCAATCTACACTTTAGAAGAAGCATTGTAAGCAGTTACCTGATGAAGTGCGAATCAGAGCCCTCCACCTCAGGACGACCATCTTCTTTATTCTATCTAAAATAAAAAAAAATTATAGCCGATTTCCGATTTGATCGTACCACCACTCCGACTTCCCATGAATAACATCGTCATATTTCAACCAATTTACATAAACATTCAATGATATCATGTACAGATTTTAAACAGATTTTAAACTGGTACATTGATATATTATATTTATAGATTTTTCGAAGAACCCAGAAACTAAAAGAATATTTTAATTCCGTTTTCATGAGGTTGTTTTCAGTGATAGCTATACCCCTTTGTGATTATGAAATATTTTCGTGTCTGCATTAATCTCTTTGAAGGCACGTTTAACACCTGCCTCTCCATCGCTGACTTTCTGATATATAGAAATTCTCCTAGATTTTTGTTTTGCTGAGCTGGTTTGAGCACCAACACAACTTAGTTTTTGTAGTTTTTCTACCTTTCCTTGTTGGTCGTCAATTAGTTTTTGAATTTCGGCGATTTATTCTTCATAATCATCACGTGATTCACTGACACTTATGTGTTGGACTGAATAACAAGCTTCATATACATAGTGTAGGAATCATCAAGACTCTAGTGGATCATGATTTCGGGTTCTGTAATACGAAGGAAGGTTTCGAGACGGAACTAGGCATCATCAGAAAAGATCTTCAATGGAATGTTACTCCAAAGTGATGATGGAAGGAACTTTGGCTAGAAGACAGCAAGGGCCTCGTGAGGAAGAGAAGCCGTCACAACAACATCACAACCCGCTCCAGATCCGGAAAGGCAATTGGAAGGTCGTATTGCAGAGCACAAGAAAATCATACAGCGAGGAGAAACCAGCAAACGGGAATAGCAGAGCATGTTTGGATCAATATAACATCAAGTAGTTCCATGTTGAGAGTATCCACATGGAGACACATGAGGAAGTTCAAAGAAGCTCCATATATGTTGTCCAACGACGCACCAGACAATTGCTCCATAAGTGATCATCGGTCTGACAATCATCACATGAATCCGATGGATTTGTTTGGGACATAAACCCCAAGTTTTACCACAAATCCATCGACATGTCCATAGGGACAGTTTGGATTTGTGTAAAACTTTTTCCAAGTGAGGGTTCCAGGTGAGTTTTTCATCAAGGACAGTGTCAAGATATTTCACCTCCGTTCCAAATGGAATGACCTCGCCATTGAGGGAAAGTGTCGTCCAATTTTCTCCCCCTGGTGGAGGGGATTATCACAGTTTTGCTGGGGCTGACAGACATCTGCTCCCTCTGGCACCAACTGTGAACAACGTGCGTCGTACAAGCTACCCTTCTCGACGTGGATGATGATCTTGTCATCTGCATGAGCTTGCAGATCTACTTCTCTTCGATCGAGGGCATCTAGTAGACTATCCATCAGGAGCGACCACAGAAGGGGAGATAGTACCCCACCTTGAGGGCAACCCCAGGTGACCCTGAACCTAATGGCCTCGTTTTGAAGAGTCATCGTAGTTTCAGTTCTGTTTACCAGTATGGCATAGATCCAGCCAGTTATGGTCGATTCTATGCCTTTTCCAGCCAAAACTGATCCTATAGATTTAGGTAGTGCATTGTTAAATGCCCCTTCAATATCGAGAAATACAGCAACCGCAATCTCTTTTTTGTCAAGGGATTGGGAAATTTTCTCTACAAGGTTGTTTATTGCCAAATCTGTCGATTTGCCGGTTTGACATGCTTACTGGTTTGACATATACCACCCTTGTTGCAAACCAACTGGGTGGTATGTAATTCCATGCCAGACTAGCTCTATTCAAGTTGTACCGTACAGAACGTGGAATTTTTGCCCATCTCATTTCGTTTTGACAGAGATATGTTTATTTACCAGAGCAATAGGGGTAAATTCATTCATTCAATTATTCCTTTCTCTTGTTGTTCAACCTAAGTCGTATATAATTTGGAAATGAGGGTATTCTTTCCAATACTTTCATGTTCTATAATTATGTCGACCTCGACAAATTTTTTAAGGAGTTCCAATGAAATATATTTATATCAGCGGCTGTTCTTAAAAATAAGTCTCAATGTGAATGATATCGAGGAGGTTATCATGCGTGGAAGCGCAGAAGGGCTACATATTTTTTATTATTTGTTTCTTGTAAATTCCGACTCCTTTCTCGAGATCTCGACTTTCAAACTCGAAATTTTGATATTGAAGTCTTAATTTCCAAGAAACAAATGATGAAAATATGAGTAATTATGAGTCATTTGATCCCAAAATAGTTTGCTGATCCCGTTCAATTTTTGGTAGACAGAAGTTTATATCCAATGAAATACATCAGGTGTGAGATCACTCTTCCAATTTGAATGGTATTCATTTTCATGAAGGGAATCTTAAGTACCCATTTGCATGATTTCTCCGTGCTTTTTGAAAATAATTTACATCTTTTCAATTTCAGAACGAAAACGAGAAATGAATTACCAGAATGGAGACAAGCGGTTCCTCAGGTGATAGCGGTGTCCATTAAAAATACACTACTCTTGAGTTTCGGTATGACTTTGGGGTTTCCTACCATCCTCATTCCAGCACTATCAGGAGATGATGCATCCGAAACAATAAAACTGGGAACAGAGGCCATATCATGGATTGGTGAGTTGATGAAAATGTATTTGGTATTTCTAAAAATATTATTTGTGATATAGAAGAACCAATATTTTCGAAAGTTTTCGTTGGTGTATCTAAAAAGATTTGTGGATATGAATATATGCAGAACAGGAAAAATGTAGGATTAGGCATGATTGCCTTATGTTGAAAAAAATCCGCATTTAAAGGTACTTATCATTACTTCTTGAATGTTCCTACAGAAACTCATGAGTTACGAAAAACCAATTAAGAATTTTCAATGTAGCTGATAAATATAAGTTAAATTTAATTATTGAAATCAATGAATTCCACAATATGGAAAATAATGAAGGTAAATCATTATTTACTCACCAATTTCTATTTCGTTTTCAAACATAACAGAGTACAATCACCGTATGCTACTGTCAATATTTCAAGTGTTCTCAAGCACTCAGATAATTCCATTTTTTACACAAAATTTGGTGCAAATTATTTGATTCATTTTTTTTTTTGATAGAGGAAATTCGCCTTACACGCAAAACATTTCTAACTTGTTTGCCTCTCACCAACAAACTGAACAGCTGAAACTGTGAACATGTATTCGAAATGAATGTACCAACATAAAAAAATTAAAAGATCCCCAATCGATACGTAGCCCGTAAATAAACTTTTTCATTTTTTCAATCGTATTTTCGGGTTTACTTTTTGTCAAAAGAGATCTCACTGTGTTGATCTGTACCTATTCAGTGCATTTCTTTAATGTCCCCTCCTTTTATCTTTTGAACGGGTCAACTCAAAGAATTGAAATTTGGGTTAATTCAATTAATGCATGAATATTTTATTATCATTTTACTTTGTGTCAAAAGAGATCTCACTGTGTTGATCTGTACCTATTCAGTGCATTTCTTTAATGTCCCCTCCTTTTATCTTTTGAACGGGTCAACTCAAAAAATTTAAATTTGGGTTAATTCAATTAATGCATGAATACTTTATTATCAAGTAAAATTAACAGATGAAACTTTCAAAATGACGATTAGGCAACATCTGTGAAGAAAAATTAAAAAAATAAATATGAAGTCAATATCTTCACCTACTACAAAATGGCAGAACATTTAATAATTTCCTGAAGACAAACACATTGATATCGATATTTCTAGAAATATTCGTTTTTATTAACCATATGGCAATTCCAACAACCCGATCAGGTTTTTTAACTTATTTTTTGTTTATAAAATTGTCACAGTTGTACAGTTAGAATATTTTCATTTAGTTTTCGGTTTTACTAGTAGAAAGGTTTTACTAGTAGAAAGGTTGAAGCGATTTTTATTTACGGTGCGACGCGTAACTTTCACGAGACCGAAAGGATTTTCAATGAACGTTTTCCGGATCGTCCTATCTGTAGAAAATATTTGAGAAAACTTTTATACAAATTCACAAGTACCGGTAGTGTACATAACAAAAAGCCCCCAGGTCATCCGTCCATTCCGGAAAAACAGCAGGTGCAGATACATGGTGAGATGGTAGTAAAGCCTGAACAGTCTACTTTTTCCGTTTGTGAAGTGTCAACTTCTACTTTGTGAAGACTTATGAAGAGGAATAGGTATATATCATCCAAACAAAATCAAAATGGTACACCAATTAACTGAAGATGAACCTGATCGAAGAACAGAATTCTACGAAATCATGACGGAAACCATTGCAAGGCATCCTACCTATCTCCACAATATTTGTTTTAGTGACGAATGTACATTTCTTTTAACAGCAATGTTCACAGACAAAGTTGCCGTTATTGGAGGGACACCAACCCTGACGTTTTCTGGGAAACACATACCCAATATCCAGAAAAAAATTAACGTTTCGGCAGGAATATTGGGAAACCATCTTGTAGTACCTCTATTTATTGATCAAAATTTAGCAGGGAACTTTATTTGAGAATGTTGGAAACTACTGTTGACCCTCTCATCACTGAAATCGTCGAAGCGAATCCTAATGAATTCGATATGGATATTGTATTCCAATAAGATGGAGTACCACCACATTACTCCAGACAAGTAAGAAACTATTTGGATACTACTTTTCCCGGTCGTTGGATTGGCCGTCGAGATCCTACAGAATGGCCAGCCCGCTCGCCAGATTTGACACCTTTTTGACTTTTTTATAGGTCAATTTGAATATACGACAGAGAATAATAAATATTTGTAAAGATATTGACGTTACTGTGTTTGAAAATGTTAGGCGTGAAATATCGGATAGACTGTTCATATGTCAAGAAATTCAAGGCAACCATTTCGAGCATCTTCTGAACTGACCTGAATCTTATTACCTCATATTATGTAGTTAAATGTCAATGTATTCAGGCAATTATTAAAAGTTCCGCCATTTTGTAGTAGTTGAAGATATTGACAGTATATCCTATGGTTGTGAAGCATTTGTCAGGAGCTTCAAAAAAATGTGTCACAAGACCTCCTTTTCATTTAGTTTTTTTTCCCAGATGGCGCCCAGTCGTCATATTGAAATTTCATCTGTCAATTTCAGTTCAAAATAACGTATTCGTTCATTAATTTCATTATCTCAAATTTCAATTTTTTGAGTTGACCCAAAAAATAAAGGGGAGGGGGGAATTAAAGAAATGCACTGTATGTTGGTTATTATCTTTACCAATCGTGTTAGGAATCACACGTTAAAAGGTAAGACCTCGTTAGTCCTTAGCTCGCACAAGTTTCTCAACTTCTGAGAGTTGTTGTTTGTATGGGGCGGCAGCTGATTAACGGAAAAACAGATTTTAAAACAGATTTTTTTTTAAATCTTCATTGAGAGCTCTCGATGTTGTTGTTGGGTTTGTGATGATTCTGGAATCTGTATATGTTGGTTATTGTTTTTACCAACTTCATTGAAAGTTCTCAAAATGTTCCATGAAAATATTATTCAGAATCAGTCACAAGGATGACCCCAAAACCGTTCCAAATTCTTGTTGATACAAAAACATCTTAGAACTGGAAAAAGTTTCATCAGTTCATAACTTCATAATGCAAATAGTGTTCATAACAAATTCACCAGAAAACTATTCCATTATTATTATGCGGTGTTGCTTAAATCAATAATCACGGATTTTTTTACAAAAACCTCAATACCTGTGATTAGGAAAGATGATGTCTTAGTTGGCGGGGGTTGAAAGTGTATATATGATTGTTAGACATCAAAAACAGTTGAAAATTGCTTTTTTCGACTTTGTACTTTCTCAATGTTGTATGATAAATGGAACATATCCAAAAATAAAAAAATAACAGCCAATATCAATGAAAACTCCCTAGCAAAATATGTAGTGTGTCAATTATCTGTAGTAAAAGATATTTCGAAATGAAATTCTAATTTATTCTTTGTGAAACGGACATGTCTGCCTGAAGAAGATATAATAGCTATCCCTCCCTCTACCAAAAGCTTATTTCTGAAAACCTACAAATAATTCTTCATCAAATATCTAATTGTCAACATCAATAATTATTCATTCTTTCAGGATCTATTAATTTGATATGCGCTCCACTAGGTTGTCTGATGTCTGGATCCCTCACACATCTTCTAGGGCGAAGAATGACAATGCAGTTAGTAAATATTCCTATTTTGACAGCTTGGTTCCTGTTTTATTTCTCCACTGATGTTTGGCATATCTTCTTGGCATCCTGCATAACTGGTTTGAGTGGAGGACTACTAGAGGCTCCTGTAAGTATAGGGTCTTCCAACAGGGAAATCCGAACTTTGACATTTCATAACGGCACAACTGTCACTACGCTACAACTGTCAAATTAGTTGTCATTCATTCAGTCTGTTTTGCCAAATCACCATGGACGATTATATCATCCAACAACTCGTGCAAATAATGATTTTTAATCAAAATGGGTGTTCTGTTCGACACGACGTGTGTTCGCTGAATGGGATCTGGAGCAGTTGGCTGCTGACCCAAATTTTCATCGAACAGTCCTCTTCAGTGATGAGGCCCATTTCTTGATGAATGGGCCTCATCTTGATGAATGGGCGAACAAACGAAATTGTCGAATTTGGGACGATACTAATACACATGACATCCAAGAGCGTTCAATGCATTCCGAAAAAGTCACTGTTTGGTGTGGATTTTGGGCTGGCGGCGTCATCGGTCCATATTTCTTTGAGAACGGCGTTGGCCAGGCCATCACTATCAACGGCAAGCAATATAGGTAGATGATTACCAAGTTATTTCGCTCTGAATTGGATGATCTAGTCATAAACGACATGTGGTTTCAACAGGACGGCGCTACGTGTCACAGCTCATGCCACATTAGATATTCCGCACGATTTGAGGTCATAATCATCTTACGTGGAATCGATGTGAACTGGGCACCGAGATCGTGCAATTTGAGCTCGTTAGAGTTTTTCTTGTAGAGTTTTCTTAAGTCTAAACCACAGCGGTCCCCCATGGGTTGGGCTACCTATCGGGCGAGCCCCCAGGTGGCGGATAGGGGAACGGCCAGGGGACAAAAACCAATTCCGAGGCTGGACAGAAGTGCTCACCTCAATCTATGACGGTGACTGGGGATGAACAGAAATGTTCACCCCAATCTACCGCTCGGAATGACGCTGGACATAGCAGATCACCTGGTGATGTTATACAAAGGCGGCGCATTTGAGGCGACAACTATAAGTGCCCCCTCCTCCTCCCACACTCCACCTCCAACATCAAGGGCACTTCCTGAGGCGGGCGCCAAGATCTCCGCCTTGAATAAAGGCAACGAACCGGCTGCCTCTGCAGAAAACCACCCTCACTTGAACACCTCCACTAGGGGAACCCCAGGAAGGTTGAAAAAGCTGCGCAACGACAGTAATGTCGCTGCACCTTCCAAAACCTTCGCGGATGCCGCCGTGAGATACCTCAAGTTTGCCAAAGAGAGTGTGTGTTCGGCGAGTCTTGGCCTACACCTGATATAAAGGAGATGCCCACCTACCTGGAAAGGACAGGATGGACGATGACCTAGGAGGACAACTCCTCGGGAGGATGTACAATGGGTCACATGTGGCATAAGTGTTGTGGGTATACTCACTCACCCTCCCTACTATATACATACATACCAAAGCGGTCCTCAAAGCCAACATAATCCATGCCATCGATCAAATTCAGACTGATTTATGTAGAGTAATGGAAAATTTGACGTTTCGGATGCGCTCTACCCAGAGAAGCCGTGACGAACATTTGAGCGATGTTATATTCCACACATAATGGCATCAATAGGTCTTTCAAACGAATAAAAAATTTCGATAATATCTCACACACACCTTGTTTTATTTGAAGCGCTTAATACAAGACCCTCTTGTTGCTTTAAATTAATTTCGTTCACTTAGTATGTTAAAATAATTGATCATGGTTTGTTTATAAAAAAAGAGGATTCTGACATTGACAATAATTTTGAAACGTTATAGAATGAAGATATTGATTTGAAACGTTCGATTCCTGGTTTATTTCGACTTTAAATCAAAGTAATTCACAGTAGGACTGACTAGTCCGAACATTGGTCCTTCGAGCAAAAGAAAAAAAAACCAAAAGTATTCAATCACAATATGTCCATGCCTAACCTGAGGAGGAGTGAGAGGAAAACTGAAGGAGTTTCTCCTGAAAGATATAGCGATGTATGTTATGACCCACGACAGGTTTCGGAGTTGCATAAACGTTCTTCATCAGAAGACCCATCTAATGCCGAAGACAAATCAATAATTATGAAATCTTCAAGCTCTAGATGACGAATGTTGGAAATAGAATTGGAAGAAACGATAAAATTGGTCGCAGAAGAGAGAAGGAGAGCCAATATTGAAAGGAGAGCCGAAATTGATGCTGAACTAATAAGGAAAGAAAAACAACTACAACGTGAACCGAATCAAGATTCTTCATCTAAAAAGTCCACAATCTCTAGTGGCAAAAACATCATTCATTTGGAAGAAATGACGATACAAGAAGAAGTTGCTGAGTGGAAAATCGGAGAAACGGGAAATGAAACCGAATTCGTACCGACAAACAATTTTATTACGATGACTACTGATAATTTGAATCAGATTTTAGACGTTCTGAAAATTATTAAATGAAAATGTTCTCAGCATTACACTGAAAGAGAGACATCCCAAATAAGAAATTCTTATTACCCTGATTACGGAGGCGGAGAATATTCTCCGCCTCCATAAATAGCAGACTTTTATCATATTCTCCGCCTCCGTAATCAGGGTATGAGCACTTCTTCTTTGGGGTTTCTCTCTTTGAGTGTAATGCTTTGAATATTTTTCACAGACCTCACCAACCTCTCCCAACTTCCTCCCATATGCTGGTGGAATGAATGTCCATGTAATGTTCTTAAGGGAAAAAACCCAAAATTTCAGTATCGTCCATGTCCTTGACAGCTTCTCTTGATTCTCTATTGGCATAATGCATGTTTGTACCGTTATCTGAGTAAATTTCTCTCGACTTATATATCCTCTGATCGCCAGATGAATCGCTCGTACACTCATACGGGTATATAGTGTTTTTCATGTTTTCTGCCATGTTTCCTGTTACGTATAAATGAGGAAAAATTATAACTGCACATTTCCTTTTCATTGATAGATTTGGTCAGACAGTTGTCATATACGACCTATTTTGTATCCCCATACGAATTTATTCAAAAGTTTTCAGTGAAATAACCAATATTCAGGGTTGTCGTTATTGCAAATTATATTGGCGGATGACATTTTTTTGCTTTTTTCCTTCGTTTACCCATTTTACCATGTTAGTAATCCCACGCTAAAAGGTAAGAACTCGTTAGTCTTTAGCTCGCACATGTTTCGACTTCTGAGAGTTGTCGTCCGTTGGGGGCGACAGGTGGTTGATTTGTTAACATCATCACCCAAAGATTCGAGAAAAAATTGGCAATTTGCTTTTTTACCAGTTCACTGAAAGTTGTTTATGGTTGCATCTGTTTTTTGTAATCCACTATGTTTTGGGATACATGTAATACACTGCTTATGTTTTATCCCATGTGGGCTGTTATATATTATCAATGCAAGTAGCAGTCTGCCAGATAGCTCTTGCGTTTCCTTGGATAGTAATTTTCAACTGAAAAGATTTTAGGAGGGATGAAATCAGTCAAGGTTATTTTATATTTTTAGTTGAAATATTCGTTTTTTCAAGGTATTTAAGATTAACCTGAAAATCACCATAACATGATCAATAACAGGTTTTCAAGGCATTTAAGATAAAGCTGAAAAATCACCATGACATGTTCGATATGGAGTGATAATAATGACGTTTGAATTGGTTGATTCCAAGGCACATAATTCTGATACAAATTATAGGTTGCTGGTTTTCGTCGCGATCTCATTTGACTATGGAATAATGCAAACGCCTTCATATCAAACTTGAACAATAAAATGTTTTCAAGTTGAATTTATATTGTCAATCTTGGAATAAGCATTAAACACTGATGTTTTTGTTATTTAAAAGAAAATTGAATTGACCTATTTTATTTTCAACACATCAAATATTCAATTGAGAAAAAACCTATCGCACCTCTAGGCATATGGAAGGCGATCTCTTTTTGTGAAAGGTTACTTCTGTATCTGTAGACTAGTGAAGGTGAAGGTGAAATGAAGGTCCACAGCACTTGGGCCACATTTGACCCATTGTAGACCTCCCGAGGAGTTGTCCTCTTATATAGGTCATCGTCCATCCTGTCCTTTCCAGGAAGATGGACAGGTCACTGAGAGACATCTCCTTTATATCCTGGTCATCACCAGATATTTCTCCGGCGCCAGCTTCCCATCCCATCTCTTTAGGGATTGAGCATGGGTGGCTGAATATTTCCAGGTTTCCGGTGTTAGATGTTTGATTTTTGTCTTAGAAAAATACACATGCAGAAGTTTTCTTACAGTCTTGCCTTCTATTTTTGTATATTCTCTAGTATTTGTTTTTTCCATACTATCATTTAGGGTCTAACGCAAACTTGGGTCTGTACGACCATTGTCCAAGAGTTGGAATCAAACCACCAACGTTCTCATAGCGGTTGAATAAATGACTAGAACCAACCACTTACGCTTACCAACCGGTTACCGTTTGACCATATGACTACAGTACCTAATGCAACGGCTGTCACTCCTCTACGTCTTCTCTCCACGAAGGAAGAATTGAACTATGTTGAGTTGTTCACCATAATAATAACGTTTTTCCACGTGGGTTGACCAATAATTGACTACACTGAACAATAATCAAACCTAACTTTATTTCACTTTAAATACAAGAAATAATTCAAATAAAACTTCAACTATTATTCGAATGTCTATCGTCTTACTAGATAGCTTCGCGTACCGCACTGTAACTTCCACTTGACTGTCTCGATGGGCGAGTGGATGGCGCTTATATTTGGCAATCGATGGCCCTGGATTATCCCTCGGAATTCCCTCGAAGACGGTAGCATTATTCTCGCTACATCTGGAGCGGCAGCGCACATCGTACATTCGCGCACTCCTAACTACGTCACAATTAGTTTATGGCTACCAGTGGCGGCCGGCCTTTTTTTTGGGGCATGATTCATAACACTAATTTACGGTAAATGCTCACATCATCTTTCATTTTTGTTATTACTTCCTCAGGTAAGGTGATGTGCATTGAAGCCCAGCAGTGATTTTTCTACTCTGCAGACCCTAACTAGCTCTTCCAAATCCCTGGTGGTGGTTTTTCTCAACCATCGTAGGGGAGGTCTGCACTGAATCATTGAAAAATTCCTCAGATCTTCTCTGACTGATTGTCTTCAATTATTGGCCGCTGTCAAGTCTTTCGCATGGACGTTGACTCAGCGTCAGTATATTTAATATTCTTCAGATACATTTTTATTTATTTACGAGTAACCCCATCAGTAAATATATTCTTGGGGTCCCTGAGGTTCCTTATTTACTAAAAGTTCCATCCAATATTTTTCAATCTTTCGACCCTAGGTTTAGTATAAGAGCAATATCATACTTCCCCATAAGCTTCGTATGGTCTACTAGGACTCCCTTACTGTGCTATAATGCCATTGGAACTTTGAGGAGTATTTTGATACTGGCATAAATTCACTAATGAGAAAAATAGAAAGATTTGATTATTTCGAGGAAAATGCATAATCAGGGTTATGTAATACCATCTCACCTGTTTGTAACACCGAAGAGATCTGTATTTTATCGTAGTTCTAATTGAATTTCCTTGCAGGTTCTCACTTATGTAGCTGAAGTAACCCAACCACGCCTACGGGGTATGCTCTCATCCACAAGCACCACGTCCATTGTCCTAGGAATCTTCGGCCAATTTCTACTAGGGTCATTCTTATCCTGGAGGGTACTAGCAGTAGTGAACTGTGCCTTTCCCATAGCATCCCTCATTTTGCTTATGATTATTCCGGAAACACCCGTATGGCTCATTACAAAAAAAAGATTGGAAGAAGCCAAGAAGAGTTTAGCATGGCTAAGGGGTTGGACTTCTGTCGAGAATATTGAAGATGAGTTCCAAGTGTTATATAAGGAAATCACTATCGATGGAGATGACGGGAAGGAACTTCTGTCAAATAAATTATTAAACATGAAGCTTTTCGGAAAACTCAACTTCATCTGGCCTTACTCTCTGATAACACTAGCATTCGTCCTTTGCCACTTCAATGGAAATTCAGCGTTGCAGGTGTATGCTATAAAAGTATTTAAAACTTTCAAAACACCTCTCAGCGAATATTACTGCACAGCTATTATGGGACTAGCTCAGTTACTTGGATGTATCGTTTGCATCACCTTCATAAAATTTCTTGGCAAGAGAGTCATCAACTTCATTTCTACTGCTGCGACTGGAATATGCTTCATTATAGTTGGTACCTATGCTTACATGAACAATATCGAGTATTTAGAAAATCCAGCAAATGACACTTCCAGCGCCGATAATAGTACATACTTTCATCAGTGGATTCCAGTAACTTTTCTGGTCTTCTCAACTTTTTTTTCCTTCTGTGGAGTAAAAATACTGCCTTGGGTGCTGATTGGTGAACTTTTCTGTAACGAAATAAGGGCTTCGGCAGCAGGATTATCTGCTGCTGTGGGTTACATCATCAGCTTCTTCGCTAGCAAGCTCTTCCTGGACATGGTGGCCACGATGACACTGCCAGGGATGTTTTGGTTTAGCGGTGGTATTGGAGTTATTGGAACAATCGTATTATATTTCGTTTTGCCAGAAACTGAAGGCAAGTCCCTGTTCGAGATTACGGAGCATTTCGCAGGAAGAAATAAGCTCACCAACAGTGTCAGAAAAAGTAAGCCTTCGGGACGATGTAATCCCGCTTTTGAAATAGAAGAACAAAATTTTACAGATATTCGATTTTAGTTCAATGAAGTACTATACAATTTGTGATATTTGATACTAAATCATATTTATCAATTGATGTGATATTGTATTGTAATAGATAATATATTTTTAATAGAGTAGCCCACCAATTGTTTATTTATATCTATTTGATAAACATCCAACTGAAGTTTTAAACCGGTTTCACTCATCCCTTCTTCTCTGTCTCCGCTTCACCGGTTTAGCGGGAGATGACCGTTTGGCGGGAGATGACAGTTTCCGTCTGATTATGGGTTTCCATATATTACGTATATCTACGCTAGTTTGGCTGAATGCGTCGTTGGACAACATATGTGCAGCTTCTTTGAACTTCCTCCTAAACCAGTGTTCCTCGTCCTCCGTATAGATGATCTCAGCTTGGGACCATTTGATGAGTTGATGAGTCAAAACATGCTTTGCTATTCCCGATTTGCTGGTTTCTCCTAGCTGTGTGCTTCTCTTGTGCTAGGCTACGCGGACTTTCAATGGTATCTTTTTTTTTACCGATATAGGACTTGCCGCACTTACAGGGTTTCCGGTAAATGCAACTCTTGGAATCGCAATCCACGTTTGGTGGCTTGGTTTTCGTGAGACTGCTTCAAATGGTGTTTCCGGATCTGAAGCAAGTTCTGATGTACTTGGAGTCAATTCTTCTTATCCTTTTCGACAATCCTCTGCTGTAGGGAGGTGCAAGCACTGGTTGTGACAGCTTCTCTTCTTTGAGAGGTTCTTGCTGTTTTATTGCCAAATTCTTTTCCATCATCATTAAAAGTAACAATTCCATTGAAAATCTTTTATGATGATGCCTAGTTCCTTGAAAAACAAATGTCGATAAACAAAAAAAGGACCTGAAATTGTTGAAAAAAAATTGTGTTTCAGGAGATATACAGTATACTGAGAAAGACTCTCAGACTAGCTCTATTCAAGTTGTACCATACAGTACGTGGAATTTTTGCCGATCTCATTTCGTTTTGGCAGAGATATGTTCATTTACCAGAGCAATAGGGGTGAATTCATTCATTCAATTAGTCCTTTCTCTTGTTATTCAACTGGAGTCGTATATAGGTTTGAAATGAGGGTATTCTTTCCCAAATTTTTTAAAGAGTTTCAATGAAATATATTTTTATCAGCGGATGTTCTTAAAAATGAATCTCAATGTGAATGATATCGAGAAGGTTATCATTTGTGGAAGCACAGTAGAGCTACATATTTTTTATTATTTGTTTCTTGTAAATTCCGACTCCAATCTCGAGATTTCGACTTTCACACTCGAACTTTTGATATTAAAGTCTTAATTTCCAAGAAACAAATGATAAAAATATGTGATCCTTCTGCGTTTCCGTAATTATGAGTCATTTGATCCCAAAATAGTTTGCTGATCCCGTTCAATTTTTGGTAGACAAAAGTTTATATCCAATGAAATACATTAGGTGTGAGATCACTCATCCTATTTAAATGGTATTCTTCTTCATGAAGGGGGTCCTAAGTACCCATTTGCATGATTTGTCCGTGCTTTTTGAAAATCATTTATATCTCTTCAATTTCAGGACGAAAACGAGAAATGAATTACCAGAATGGAGACAAGCAGTTCCTCAGGTGATAGCGGTGTCCATTAAAAATACACTACTGTTGAGTTTCGGTATGACTTTGGGGTTTCCTACCATCCTCATTCCAGCACTATCAGGAGATGATGCATCCGAAACAATAAAACTGGGAACAGAGGCCATATCATGGATTGGTGAGTTTATGAAAATATATTTGGTATTTCTAAAAATATTATTTGTGATATAGAAGAACCAATATTTTCGAAAGTTTTCGTTGGTGTATCTAAAAAGATTTGTGGATATGAATATATGCAGAACAGGAAAAATGTAGGATTAGGCATGATTGCCTTATGTTGAAAAAAATCCGCATTTAAAGGTACTTATCATTACTTCTTGAATGTTCCTACAGAAACTCATGAGTTACGAAAAACCAATTAAGAATTTTCAATGTAGCTGATAAATATAAGTTAAATTTAATTATTGAAATCAATGAATTCCACAATATGGAAAATAATGAAGGTAAATCATTATTTACTCACCAATTTCTATTTCGTTTTCAAACATAACAGAGTACAATCACCGTATGCTACTGTCAATATTTCAAGTGTTCTCAAGCACTCAGATAATTCCATTTTTTACACAAAATTTGGTGCAAATTATTTGATTCATTTTTTTTTTTGATAGAGGAAATTCGCCTTACANTAATAATTTCATGAATATTAAAAGATGAATAAATAAGTACTACCTTGATCATTCCCATATTGATTTCAATTTAGGAGCCACCGGTAGACAGCTGTTTCAGCCTATTGGGCATCGTCCGTACAGGGCAGGTGGTCCTCGATTGAAGACAAAATGTGATGGAAGGTCATCTTGATTTCAGATAGGTTGGAGCCTGGCTCCCTTACCCTTTGGACTGATACAATAACCAAGAAAAGTACTCTGCTTGTTTTGTGTTATTCAGGATACTGTCAGTGATAAACAGCAGATCAGTATCATCAGCAAAGGTTACCAACATAGTTAGGTACATGTTGTTTTATGGATTCGACAAGATCATCAACATAAATTACGAATGAATTTCATTAGTCAGGACTTCCATTGTCTAATAATATATAAACTGATTTGAAATCCCTAAAACAACCAATACAAATTGAAAATGAAAAAAAAAAGGCTGAAAGTAACAATTATATTAAGCAAAAAAAGCCGTCACAACCAGTGCATGCACTTACCTACATCAGAAGATTATCGAAAAGAGTAAGAAGAATTTGGTACAAGTTCACCATCAGAACCTGCTTCAGATCCAGAAACACTATCCGTAGCAGCCTCACGAAAACCAGGCCACCTAACGCGGACTGCGATTCCAAGAATGGCATTTACCGGATACCCTGTGGGTGCGGAAAATCATATATCGGTAAAACTAAGAGGCCATTGAAAGATCCCATTGCCGAACACAAGAAAAACATACAGCGAGAAGAAACCAGCAAATCGGGAATAGCAGAGCATATTTGGACCCATCAAGTGGTCCTAAGCTGAGATTATCTACTGGTTAAGGAGAAAAATCAAAGAAGCTGCATCCATATTGTCCAACAATGTATTCAGCCAAGCTAGCCTAGAGATACGCAACATATGGAAATCCATAAACTCGAATGACCCATAAACAGTCACCTCTCTGAAAAATTAGTCCAGTCATCACCCGAAATCCATTGTGAATACTAATAATCGAAACGTCGTGAAGTAACTTGGCTTGGAGTCTCTCAAATTTTCATTTTTTTAGAAGGGAAAGAAGAAACTACGATCATAGATCATAGAGAGAGAGAGAGAGAAAATTGTTGTTGCAAATACTACGTGTGGTGATAACGACCTGTTTTTCACAGTGATTTAATGCAAACATGTATATCAGTAAACAATGTTTCCAAGCTTGACATAATTCTCTTCAATGAATTTTTTCAATTCTATAGAGAGTTTAAGTTTCCATTTGATTTTTCGTATGTACTCGGGAACCATGTTGAGAAGTTTTGGGCCAAAATAAGTTATGAATCTTTGTGGTAGAGACTTTTTATAAAAAGGAACAGACACTAGATTATTAGAAATAGACCTCGTATTGTAGGAATGACTAGTATATGTGTAGGTTTTGGTTTTCATCATCCAATGCATACATTGGTATATATAAATTTGTTTAAGATTCAGTAAGTTAGCTTCACGATATAATTCATTTGTGGAAAATAGTTTTGATTTTTTAAGTATAATCTTTATTATTGTGTTTTGAGTAGTTTCTAGATCACATAAGGCTGTTTTGTACATACCCCCCCAAATAATGACACAGTAACGTATAATGGACTCTGCTAGTGCATTATACACCATCATAATGGTTCTCCTGCTTAAAATATCTCTCAGCTGATAAAATTTACGTATAAGTTTGCTAAGGACTATTTCTCCGAGAGATGACTATTTATAGGTCATGCGAGTGCTTTCACTTATCCCTTCTTCCCTCTCTCCGCTCCACCGGTTTAGCGGGAGATGATTGTTTTCCGCCTGATTATGGGTTTCCATATATTGCGTATATCTACGCTAGTTTGGCTGAATGCGTCGTTGGACAACATATATGCAGCTTCTTTGAACTTCCTTCTAAATCAGTGTTTCTCGTCCTCCGTGTGGATGATCTCAGCTTGGGACCACTTGATGATGAGTTGATGAGTCAAAACATGCTCTACTATTCCCGATTTGCTGGTTTCTTCTAGCTGTGTGCTTCTCTTGTGTTCGGCTACGCGAACTTTCAATGGTATTTTTTTTTTCACCGATATAGGACTTGGCGCACTCACAGGGTATCCGGTAAATGCAACTCTTGGAATCGCAGTCCACGTTTGGTGGCTTGGTTTTCGTGAGACTGCTACGGATGGTGTTTCCGGATCTGAAGCAGGTTCTGATGTACTTGAACTCAATTCTTCTTATCCTTTTCGACATTCCTCTGCTGTAGGGAAGTGCAAGCACTGGTTGTGACGGCTTCTCTTCCTTGAGAGGTTCTTGCTGTTTTATTGCCAAATTCTTTTCCATCATCATTAAAAGTAACAATTCCATTGAAAATCTTTTATGATGATGCCTAGTTCCTTCTCGAGATCTTCCTTCGTATTACAGATCCCGAAGTCTACTAGAGTTTGGATGATTCCTCTTTTGCATGTCAAATCATATTATATTATATTAGACAATGGAAGTCCGAACTAAAAATTCAATTGTTTTGATGTGGCAATCTACCAGATCCTAGACTGACCTGGAACCAATTTCTGTAAAGAGACGATGACATATTCCTTCATGAAGTCGCTACATGAGACTTAATCCACAAATACCAAAGATTAACGAGGCTCCCTAATGGCAGTCCGTGACAAAGTTAATCTTCGACATAAATCGCCGAACAAGATTCGTTTTCGTTGCAAGGCAGCTAGATGACATCAGAGTTCAAACAAAGTATCTAGCACAAGATAGTGCTGTTTCGATCTGCCATACTTCTTTGATATTTTTGGATTGAGTGTTCTGTCATTTCCATAGATGACTTCCTCGTAGGGATAGATCACAT